TTATGAGTGGTATACGCTTAGGTTACGGACGTCGTCTTCCGGATTTACCAACCAATTGTGCTATTCCGTATGATGGAGCTATTCAGAAACATACATTTGGTAGACAAAGGTTTGCATTTTACATCTTATATATTTCAAAGATAGACAAACTAAATCTTCCATATTCAACTTCACTCATTTCTTTTCCGTTTCCAGAAAACGGTTATACTAAAACGTTGTATTGTAATGAAGGAACAGTAAACTTTAACCAAATAAAAATTTGATTTCCGGAAAATGATGGAAGGAATGGAATGGAATTCTTAAATGTTCCGAGAATTTTCTGATGATGAATTCCTCATCTATCCTTGTAAAAAGAATATTCTATTGGAATATACATACCTCGAGAATGATGTAAAATAAATTTGTGCATTATAGGAGGATACGAAAAACAGGTGTTAATAATCGTTCACAAAGTGTTGGTCGAACATCTCATCCATTCGATTCTAAAATGGTCAATTGTCATATGAATAGTTACAGTCCTTTACTTCATCGGTATATCACCATTTTTTTTTTCTTTTTTGATAAATAATTTCTCATAGATGGTTTATGGCTAGAAAACGTAACAGGTAATATGAGAAAGTAAGAAGCCTAAGATTACTTTAAATGATCAAGTTAAGTTAAGTGTTGATTAACATTGTTTAGAACGATATTGATTAGCGATCCCTTTTATCATTCAGATCACATTTACCATCTGTTCGAGCCCAGCTAATTGCTCTCGATCATAGAGGCTTACGAATTGTCCTGATTGAAAAGCTTCAGCCAGGTCCATTTGGTTTTTACATTGCTACTGGAATACTTAACCAAAAACGTGGTATGTTCTTTTCCTTCAATTTTGGTGAATATTCTTTAGAACACAAAAATTTCGAAGGTTAATCTGATTGATTCTCGATCATCTGGGAGAAATCAATAAAGTCTCTCTTGCATATAATTGATTTTAAAAACAAATTTTAGGATTTCACAATTGATCACAAAGAGAGACCACTAGAGAACAGAAAAATAATACAAATCATGAATGTTCAGAAAAATTTTAACAGCCAAAATATTCCTATTGAATATTTTAATTTGTCTATAGAGTACAAGTTCTCTCAGGAATTTTCATCTCCCGCGTATCATTACCTTCATTGGCACCGGTACTATCAGTGGGTGATGAAATTATTTATGTGGAAGATGAGCTGGTCAAAGGTGAGGATTTGGAATATGTTCAGGCATTAATTGCTGGCAAAAGTAGCGTGAAGATTGTTCTTTTACCGACAGTTGGGCCAAGTGCTTGTTAATATACCATTCATTTCATTTTTCTGCATCAAATATGGAAAACTTATATTTGCTGAACAAATAAGACCACGTATTTTAAACGTCAAGCAAATTTAACTCAATTTCAATTTTTAATAAATGTTTTTTATTTGCACACTTATATCTGATGTTTCGTTTTATTTTTTTTGAATGCATTAAGATTTTTCGCCCCAATTTATTTCTACCAAGTAAATAAGAATGAAGCACTTAAATACCAGCCATATCTACTCGGACAATTAGCTTCAATTCACCAGACATTCGTGTTTCACTATTTGTATCGTATTATGTAACCCATTTGTCCCTATTGGTTGAGTAAAGTATAAGAATCGTTCTTATCATCTCATCGTTATCAACTGTTCCATCACAATTTATTCACTCGTTTGGAACTTTTCTTCCCTCTCAAATTTCAATGAAATTGCTAATAATTATAGTGTTGTCCATTTCTTATCTTTCAGCACTGCAGTACTATAAAGTTCACTTACCGGTCAGTTGCCAAAATTTCCAAAAATAAATACTTCTCCGGAAAAAAAAAATTACTTCTGAAAAAGATCGAAACTTTTTTTCCTGAGCTTTCCTCTGGAGAAGCTAGGAAAAAGAAAAGAGAGAAGAAAAAAGAAACGAATCATTTTGAATCAGATATAACCGAACATGTGCCCCACCAGAAAGAAGTCTATCGTTCAAACTATCCTTCATTCAGTACATCTATATTAACAACATAGCTATAATGTCGGATATAACCGAACGAATGGCTTTCCAAAAAATATTAGTTTCGATACAAACAGTAAATCACTTTGTTTTATCATTGAAATCATTTTATCGTTTTACTCATTCATTAGGTTATCGATGTATCTTAACGACTTTAACTTTCTTGAACATCTATTGCGCACAATAAGATTTAATTATAGCTAAGTGGATGTTTCTTATATGCAATAATGTCAGCGTTTACAAGAGTATCATCTTAATTCCTTCTTTCTCCAAAGGAAATTGACTGAAAAAAAAATTTACTTTTCAAAAGTAATCAAATGCTTCTCTTAAACTGTTTCATTTTGTGTCCCAATTTATCCATCTTGTGATGCCAATTTATTATGATTTTGATAGATTGTATAAGACCACTAAATTCTTCATTTAAACATCCTTAGTCCTCATGTATTCAGTTCATTCTTTTTCATTTCTTTTTATTTTTGGAGTGATGTATGAAGTACCAAGGAAGTTCTTTCTTATATATGAACAAAATAGGGGCCACCGATTAACAAGAGATTTGTAAAAAGAATACCATTAAAAAGATCAGACCGGAAAATAAACAATTGATAAACTTATCGAAATATAAATATAAAAATATAAATTAATTTTTCCAAAATATAAATATAAAAATATAAATTATTAATGCTTTTTTTTTACAAATCAACAAATGGAATGTTATAGAAGCATCAGAGATGACCAGAAATATCACTTTAGACCTCCATTTCTGTGAATTTTGAAGATTTCAAAGGATATCGTGAAAACTTACTCTCAGTCCATTCTTTTTCATTTCTTTTTATTTTTGGAGTGATGTATGAAGTACCAAGGAAGTTCATTCTTATATATGAACAAAATAGGGGCCACCGATTAACAAGAGATTTGTAAAAAGAATACCATTAAAAAGATCAGACCGGAAAATAAACAATTGATAAACTTATCGAAATGTAAATATAAAAATATAAATTACTAATGCTTTTTTTCCAAAATATAAATATAGAAATATAAATTACTAATGCTTTTTTTTTTACAAATCAACAAATAAAATGCTATAGAAGCATCGCAGATGACCAGAAATATCACTTTAGACCTCCATTTCTATTTTGAAGATTTCAAAGGATATCGTGAAAACTTACTCTCAGTTCACTTAATAAATAACCTTATTATAAATCACGATATTTAACGTCAACAATTACTTTATGCTACTGATGGTTTCATTGATTGCTTTCGCGACGTATTCAACATTTTCTGGATTCAGTCCACAAACATTTATTCGTCCATCCTTTAGTAAAAATACTTTGTGTTTCTTGACAAGATGATCAACTTGTTCCGCTGAAAAATTTTAAAACCATGATTTAAATTTTGCTATACTTTCTTACTTTCTCATCGACTGCCGTATCCTAACCCTACATAATGGCATCAATATGAAACTCAAATTTCTCCATGGATTTCTCTTTTTTTCTAGCTCTTTTTATCCAAATGTCCATTATTTCCATATACCCTCATCCATCTATAAAAAAGTGAAAACCGAAGACAGAAACACACCATTAAGACCACTGAATGAAAACATCCCAATTTGTTGTGTAATATGCTCCCATTTTCCAGGAGTACCAAGCTTTTCCAGATTCTCTCGCAATGCTTGTCGCATACCTTTTATGCGCAAAGACATCGTCTAGAAAAATACTTTGATCACCATTCACCATTAAATAGAGAAATCATATTTCAGATCTATAAATCTTGACCCACCATAATTGCAGCATAGTTTAAAGATAGATGAAAAACTGTTTCTCCTATTACCACAACTTATTTACGAGGTAAGAGGAAATGGGCCACCATCCCTTTAGTTCACGATATAAACATGCTTACGATCGCAATCTTGGTCTGGAGAGAGTATATATCCTTTTTTAACACAAATATGACATTGACACGTATTAATATGACATTGACATGACTTTTTAAAACTCCAGTTTTATTTTCATCAGATAGGACCAGTCCATGAATAGCCCACTTTCTAATGTTTATTCAGTTAGGCCTACAAAAACTATAAAAACAACAAAAATTAGCATAAATAACCAACCTTTATAGCATCATGCCACTGGGCACACATACTTGGCGATGTTAGTATCATGTGCACAATTCTCGCACCATGACTAGGAGGATTAGACCAATTGGATCGAATAACCAGTGACATCTGTGATTTAAAGCCTATTAGTACCGATGGATCCGAGACTACAACTGTCAGATTACCAATTCGTTCATCTAAAATCAACAAAAATTTGTGAAGAGTATTAATTAAAAAAAAGGAATTTATAAGTGAGAATTATTAATTACACACTATATATTTCACCTGCAATAGCATTAGCTTTGTTCAACTAAATTCTAAATAAATTTTGCACAACGAATCATTCTGCTGAAGACATGTGTAGAAATGATATGCATTATTCAGGCTCACTAAAAAGTGCAGAATATAAGATTACCCATTGGTGCTATTTCGGTAACATTTCTAATAGCACCCAAATTTCAACTGATGATACAAGCAGTGATTACGAAAGAATTTACTATAAAGGCCAAAATTCTTGGCAAATGATTGTGCACAAAATATCTCAAATCCTTGCTCAACAAAGTAGCGCACGGCCCAGGCATCTGCGTCCAGATCACCACTTGCGAAGCCTTGATAAGCAAGATCGAAGAATGGGAATAGATGCCTTTTCTGAAAGAGAAGAAAACAGATAGTTAAGAATTAGAACATTTCGAATTCGAAATATTTCGAAGGTCACCGAAGCTTAAAATATTCGAAATATCTCTTGGAAAGGACTTTAATTTTAACACGTGCCTTAAAAACTTGTGCAATCTGTTTCCATTGGTCATGAGTCGGATCCATACCCGTTGGATTATGAGCACAACCATGCAAAATCACTACAGAGCTAAAACAAAATGCATATAATTTTATTAGCATATTTAAAGTAACAATAGTTCTTTTTGAATACTCCCAGCGCACAACTTCAATTAATGTCACATGAAGCTAAGCGCCCATCCTTTCTTCATTTTAAGCATATTCCCATACTACAGTAACTTTGTGATAGAGAATTTCAAATTCATAACAGTAACAAGAAGGAATTATAGTATAAAGGAAAAAAAAAAAACTAGGCAAAAGCAACACCGACTTCTCAGGTGCAGCCTCAAGATCGGCCAACATGCCTTTCATATTAATACAACGATTTGTTGTATCCCAGTAACAGTATTCACGTATATCCGTAAAACCAGCCCTTGCAAATATCAATTTATGATTACCCCTGAAAAACTCTAACAAATGACAAAATATGTGAGTTACTAATTCTTCTGAACTTCGAATAACAACAATACGAAGGAAAGTGTAATAAAAGAACTCATTGTAGTAATCATTAAGTTAAAACTTGACTGTACGATTTACAAACAACATAATTTATAACAAAGATAATTCTCTACTAACACTCTTTTTTATTTCTCACTGTTATTTAACAAAGGAATATTCAACCAAAGGTCTAGGAAGTGAGACTCAAAAACTTTCAAGTTCTAAATACACCTTCCACCTTAGCAACTTTAGGGAATTAAACAATATGCCTCCAAACACGATTCTTCACCTTAATAACAGCAGAGAATGCAAGACATACCAAGTTGGTTTTGAAACGTAAACCGTATTCATTTTTTGACAAAACTGAGAAAATCGGCTCCGGCCTTTAATGAGCCTGTTCCGGAAAGACACTGCACACCCGTGGCCTAAAATTTTTCACGTAGTACGAAAGGAAAATAAAAAAGGAAAAGATGGCTATTGTGCTAGCAATGCATACATCCCGCAACCTTCCCTTATACTGCATGCAATTTTTTTGTAATTGACTCATACTTAAAGTTGGTGTTGGCTAATTGAAATTTTTTAATTCTAAATTGAACCACAAACTTTTCCAGCTTTGATAATCGGTGAATCCTCTCCAAGAACTAGTTTCATTGCAGCATTACAAAACGGTTCATAGCCAAGCACCGGTAAATATTCATGACTAATATCATCTGTAAGTCGTTTCTCCGCTTCACGTACCACTGGTAATACCCACGGTTTACCTTCTTCCGTACGATATGCTAAAAAGGACGTAAAAAAATGTTAGTAAATATAGAAAATGAATAAAACAAATGAGGATTATTGGTAAAACTTTATATTCCTGAATAATCTTTTAAACGATCCTAAACATGGAAATATTATCTTCTTCCTCAAATGAAGTTTAACGGACCTCCAACAGTTAAGTTAACTTTATGCTGTGCTGGTTCGTCATGGTACATTTTGTTCATGTAAAATACCTCAATAGGAGGTGCGACCTCAATATTTTCGAAGAAAGATGCCATTTTTGTGTTCCTGTAAAACTAGAAAATATTATATTTGTGAAAATCAATTTAAAAAAAAAGAAAAGAAAAAAAGAACAAGAAAAAAGAAGCGTATTACAACAATATTTGTACGTACACTAAAACGACAAAGGGCCATTATAACTTTAAATATATGTAAGAATGACTTCGAGTTGGCAATTCACCACCTATGCCAAGGCATTATAAACAAGGAACTAACCTACTAACACATTAACGTCGCAAATGACATTTAGCGACATTTGCGCGAACTTACTCTATTCGTACTAGTGTACATTACCCGCTTTTCAGTAATACCAAATGTGCAATCTTAAAGATTTTCCATTTATGATATTCCGGAATGAACAATCAAATAGATTGTTCATTGTGATCAATCCAATCGGAAATTATAAACGAAACTGAGATTATCCAATGAGATGAAGAAACGGATGTCTTAATGCAAAGTGAGTAATCCGGATGGCCACTAAGAAATCAAACCTTTTCCCTGCCACTTTACTAAGCACAAGTATTGGAGAGCACCGTATTTCCCGGCAGATGGTAAACCACGGATTACGGCCAATAAGATAGGCTAGGAGCAGTCCGGGCCAGTGAATTAATGACCAAAAGAGGTGCAGGATTACGGCAAAAATGACGGGAGTTGGGTCATCCGTACTTTTAAATTGTAATTTCTTCAGGAACTAAAGTCTTTGCTCCATTATCAAACAGGCCTTAAATCGTTTTGGAGGCTAAAGTCTACTAATAGTGGTACTTGCTTTCATCTTGTCAACCAATTAGCGGTAAAGTGTAACATATCCTTTAATGTTAAATACAGATTAAAGTCATTTTTATCCTTTTTTATTGACTTGTAGGTGTCAAGAAGACAGGTAAACTGTTCTTGTTCTCAAGGCTTCTTTCATGTGCTTGGGTCCCTCAGTCACATTCATTTCATCCAGGCCTACTTTTACGTTTTCATCAACGGAGATCTCCCAAACTTGTTTTCAAGGCTATATGTAAAAAAGCCTGGAGACTTTTCATTGGCGGAACAGAAAAAATAAGCCTGGAACAATTTTTATAGGGAGAAACCTAAAATCTAAGTTTGGGACTATTAAGCATAGAACTTCCTCTACTTTCCTCCATAAGATATTCAAT